GGGCTGCGATATTCCACTGGGCCGCTCTTGTAAGTGTCTTGTCCATTTAGTCGAGCTGCAGTTCCATCAAACCGATGCGTTTATTGTCTCATTTGCCACGACCCAGGACCCTCCATGTGTCAGCGGTTCGTGGAGGCGCCAGGTCCACTCAAAGCGGCCTAGTCCTCACTAGGAGAGTGATGAAGTCATTTCCAAGCCCACCGCTCAGCTCAAACTTCAGGCTGTCCATTAAAAGGAAAAAAATCTGTCGGAGACAAGTAATGGAACAGTTGGAGAATATTGCCCCATCTATCCTGGCTGCACCTGCTGTGAACATATACAGCAATAACGGTATTAAGGCTCTTCAGAATTTCGGGACTCTGATAATGTAGGCCTGCATTAGGAGGTAATAAACAAGGCATGGTGCAGCTCGTCTGAAATTGGTCCCTTGTTTTTTTTTTTTTTTGTAATGATTTTCTTGCAGCAGGTTAGTTGGCTGTGATGGATAGGCTCATTTCAGACTTCAGTGGATCATGAGAGAGAATTACAGTTTAATGGCTTGTGTCTTGTTCTGGCTGTGTAAATGTGGCTTATTATCGGAAGGTATACATTCAGAAGATTGAGCTTCAACCTGTGGAAGATAGACGAGCGCCACAATCGTCTCATGTGCGGGGCATGCTGCTGTGCACTGTGAAATGTGAAGACTGCTCAAGATGACGCCGCTGTTGGTTAGGTGTTGGTAAGGTTGCCATCCGTAGATATTGTGGATGCAGAATAATTATGTAGCTTTTCCTCCCAAAATATCATGGAAAACATGACGGCAGAGTTTGACGGTGATTTTCAGCTCACGTGACCAGTGTGACGTGCTCTGATATTCCTTGCTTGGTAAGGCCTCACCTATAACTTCATTAAGCTGTCTGAAGATGCTTATGAAGATTCCGAAGGTGATGTCACAGAAGGGGAGGGCCAATGCCAAGTACTAGGGAACAGTCTGAGGTAGTTTTTCCACAAGTGAGATCACCTAGTTGTTTTGTTAGGGGTCTCTAAGAACAGCAGTAGTATAAGCCATACCCACAGCGTGTAACTGGGTTTCCTTGAAGGTTATGGAGGCAGAGTTGTCTGTGATGAGTCTGTTTAGTGTCTCACAGGGAGTCGTGCATCTTCTCATTTCGTCCTGGCATAGCTGTGGAAACCACCTTTAGCATTACAAGCACATCAAAGTTCACTCCCAGATGTACTTTGCAGTTATGCAGCTCAGCTGTAGGTGGCAGCAATGAGCCATGCCATTCGTATTTTAAAGAATAATATTTAAAGAATAATATTAAATGCCTCATTAAAAACAAAATTTTCTGGGGAAAATCTTTATATGTCCATATAAAGACTTCAAACCTTAAAAACAATAGCTGATTTTGGATTCTCTTCTTTAATATAGTAGCAAACCATTGCTGTATCTGTAGCTAATTTAATCGGTAGTAAGGTTAATTAATTTTACTACAAGTATATGCAAAGCATCTTCCAATAAAGCCAGTTCTTTATGGCATACAAGAGCTTTTAAAATGCATTAAATTAGTGTTTACCTATGTGTTACACGTTTTGTAATTCAGCTGGTTTTTTTTGTATACTGTCATTGAATTTCATTTTGCTTTATGTCGCAGTAAAACAGTGGACTCAGCTTTATGGCGGCGAGGATATTAAGCAGTTTACTCAGTACTTTTAAAAATGTTTTAATGACATTTTAATGACTTGTTTACCTTACATGGGAAGGAGCTTAATGCACGTATCAGTCACTGTCAGCGCTTTGGGGAGACTATGCGATCCATGCTTGTTCCCCGTTATTTTCAGTGTCACTCTGCCTGACCTGACTTCATTCTTTTCCTCTCTCCTTCAGTGTGATGGCCGTGGCACTGTTGACCCTTTTTCTCCTGCTCTAGCTCTTTCAGAAGCATATCCGTGATCTGTGGGCTTTGTTGTCACAGTTTGCGGTTTGATGTCATGCTTGGGGTTTCGTTGCAGTCGCCCCTTCTGAGCCGGAAGGGACATGCAGTCGTGTGGCACAGGTGCTGAGCTCAGCCAGCCACAGGGGCCGCCGAGATTCACTTCTGCTTTTGGGGGTAACCGGGTGGTGCTAAGAAACGGCAGGGAGTGGGGGCGAGGCGGTCACTGGGCGGGGGAGGGGGGTTCGTCAGAGCAGCGGCGACTGGACGTTTTATCTGGAGCCACGTCCGGAGGGTCACCGGTTGCAGATAGACAGGCCGGCTGGGAACCCAACCAGTGCTGGTACATATGGAGGATAGACAGGCCGCTGGGAGCCCAACCAGTGCTGGTACATATGGAGGATAGACAGGCCGGCTAGGTGCCCAACCAGTGCTGGTACATATGGAGGATAGACAGGCCGCTGGAAGCCCAACCAGTGCTGGTACATATGGAGGATAGACAGGCCGCTGGCCACACCCTCTGGGCCCGAACCATCACGTTGGAGCCAGGAGAAGATGGAGGAACAGGCGGGTGGAGGTCAGAGCTGCCATGACAATCGAGGGCCCTGTTAAACATTGACCTCCAAACAGGATCCCCAAGTTCATCCTTTTGCTGCTCCACCACTTGGCACCTCTTTGTGCCCCCGCCACCCCCGCCGCCTCGTCCCCCTTAACTGAATGAGTAATTTGGCTCGCAGTCAGCCCTGGCGTGGGGGGGGGGGGGTGTTATGGGCGGGGGGCAGTGGCTTCACAGCTGTGCTTGTTGGCACCGCTCCCCTCGAACGCCGGCCTTGGCACAAACACTCGGGAGTGACACTTAAACAAAATGCAATAGCAGTTCTAGGGCTGCCGTACATTGTTGATTTCTTACATTCCGTAGGTTTTGGGCTTTTATTTCGTACTGGGGGAGGCTGTGGATGATCAGTATGTGTTGTTATTCATGGCAGAGTGTAATTTTTCTACATTTCCTACATCTTTCATTGGGTCTAATTTGAGATCATTCATTTCCAATGTTATCTTAAATGATTTTTGTTATTTATAACCAGTTTTTAGCTCTTGAGATGATGATCCACATATTTACTTGAATTTTTTCACTATATTTTTTATATCTGCTGGAACAGTCATTTGTGCAACATAATCCTCTGTACATGTCTGAATGGCAGTGAAGTGTGGGTGTACTTCCCCTTTAAGATCTCACCAAACGATGGCACTTTTGTGCAGTGACGTGAGAATGCAAACATATTTTTTGTTTTTGAGGGATGCACTCTTCGGTGGGTGTGTTCACTCTGAACGGCTAAATGCTCATTTACCATTTAATTCCTTGGGGGTGGGGGGGGGGGGGGGGGGGGGGGGGGGATGCGT